CAGATTGCCGAAGCCTCTGCCTTGCCACAAGCAGGGACTCTAGTAACAATTACACTGTATGGGACCTAAAGCCCTCGGCCCGCTTGGTGCCTGAGACTTCCAAATCCCAAGTCTTCCTCTTCTTCTCCAAGGCTATCCAATCCCCCGAGTCAGGGCTCAGCAAACTTGTCCCGCAAAGGGGCGAGGAGTGAATACTTTCGGCTCTGCCAGCCCTGTGGGGTCTGCTGGAGTTCTCCAGCCCCGCCGCTGAAGTGCTAGGCTTCCAACAACACTTGACTTGCGGACACCGAAGTTTGAATTTCACCTCATTTTCATGCGTCACCAAATTGTCTTTCTTTTTTGATTTTCCCCAACTGTTTAGAAGCGTAAATACCACTATTAGCTTGTGAGCTATACAGTTGGGCTGTTCTCAGCCAGCAGGCCAGACCCCTGACCCAAGTGTTTGCAGCTATTTCAGCCAAACTCAAGCCTTTGCTCAATCCTGGCCTTCCTGGCTAATTCGGATGGTGTGGCGTAGGCTTCAGGGGTGAGAAGAGCTTTCATCTCCCCCAAAGTGGCCTTGTCCTTTAGGCTTTTCTCGTCTTCCAAAGTAGCTTGATTGGAGGGTGCTGGAAAGATCCCCTCCTCCCTATCCACCCAGGGTCCCGTGTAAAGGCGTTCTCTTTCACCTACAAAGCGGTTTCCCCACGCCAGTACATTTCCATGTTCTCACTTCCAGCTCTGGGCATCCGGCCTTGCCAGAGCGTCCCAGCCTCGACCAGCTCGGGCAGGCCTCACGGCTCTTTTCTTGTCGAATTCTCAATCCCCGTGTTGCCAGAGCCAGCATCTTTCTTATAAAGGGAGACCTTATGTGCTCAGAAAGCTGGGGCGAGTCGGCCAGAGGCGGAAGGATTTTAAGTTGGGATCAAGACAGGGAGAAGGACAGGGATTGAAGGAGAGAGAGAGAGAGAGAGAGAGAGAGAGAGAGACGTTCCAGACAAAAGCAGGAGGGACTGAGCTGCGGGCAGGCGGCGCGAGTGCAGAGTCCCACACAGAGGCCGTTTGAAGCAAGACAGTGAGGGCACTGGGAAGTCGGCCCTGGGGGGCACATCAGCGACGGGATTGGGCTGCTAGACCCCGAGCCTCGGATCCAGAGGAGCTTGAAGTAACTTAACATGATGGTGTGGGAGGAGAGCTCAGCAGCCTGGCTGCCGACCCTCCGTCCAAACCACAGTCCTGTGCTGGGTGTTCCTTCATCTGTTCCTTCGACAAACACTCAGGAGCTCCTACCAAGAGCCGGGGACCTTTGACTTGGGGCAAGATCAGGCAGTGGTTGGGGGAAGGAAGAGGAAGGGCTAATGTTCAATCATAGAAAGGTCCTGCCCTTTATAAATGTAGAGTAGGAGAGAACACACAAACACATGCGTGTGTGCACACACACACTACAACCCAACGAAGGGAGTGCTAAACCACACACACACATACAACCCAAGGGGAGCGCTAAACCACACACACACACACACACACACACACACACACACACTACAACCCGAGGGGAGCGCTAAACCACACACACACACACACACACAACAACCCGAGGGGAGCGCTAAACCACACACACACACACACAACCCGAGGGGAGTGCTAAACCACACACACACACACACACACACACACACACACACATACAACCCAACGAGGGGAGTGCTAAATGCCTCATGGGAATGTGGATAGGAATCCAGGCAAGGTAGCGGTCATGAATAGGGGGCAGAGGGGACTTCACAGATATTCTGTGGAAGACAAAGTACTGGAGGATGGGGATATCTGGACCTGTGAAGTGTGGGGGAAGGGCTCTCCAGGTTGAAGTGACGCCAAGCAAAGAGGATGCAGGGAAAGTATGGGGGAGTGTAAACAAGAACTCAATTTGGCATGTGTTTTCACGGGGAGGGGTTGTCATTGGCATTACTTTGGGGGCAATTCTTCGTATAGGAATCTGTCCCATACAAAGTAGGTCTGGTAGCATCCCTGCCATCTCCCTCCCCCACCCCTAATGCCAGGAGCTGCTGGCTTTCTCAGTACTCCCCGCCCCACTGGAGCCACGAGGTTGGTTTGTGAAGGCGAGCAGGAAACTATAAACTTGGACTAGAAAGGCAGCCAGCGGTAGCCGGACCATGGAGGGCCTCGGATGCCAGGATAAGACCTTGCACTTGATGAAGCAAGCAAGGAGTGGCCACTGAAGGTTTTCCAGTGGGGAGGGGATAAGATCTGCTTTAGAAAAATGAAGTTTGGAACAATGTGCAGGATGAATGGAAGGCCTAAGAAAGGCAGGGGAATCTGGTACAACCTCTTGCGACCTTTTCACTCAAGTTATCTTCAATGAGGGTGGGCTGCTTAGTTCACAATGACTGGTGGATGTCAAAGGTCAAGCGGAGGTCCTAACAGCACGTCTCCCCGCAGATTGCTAGAATGGCCTATTAGAATAGCATTTGCTAAATCAGGATTTGACTAATATTCCATTGCCTCTTCCTGTCTTTCAAGTCAATCCACCTGGGGACGCCCACAAAGCAACTCCTCCTCCCCTGGTCCTCCCTGGCAGAATTTGTGTCAAACCAGAAGGAAGGAAAAGGCAACCCTTTGAGAATTATTCTCTCCCCTGCCTATCCAGGGTCCATTGCTGCCTTAGTAAGCAAGCGACCTCTCAGTGCCCAAACAAGGAAGCAATTCAGGCCGACCCAAAGAGAGAGGGAGGAAGGCACTCCCTACTCTGGCCCTTCGCTGGCCAGGACAGGACACGGCTTTTGATCCAAGGCCCAGAGAATCCCGAGCTGATAAAGGCCCATTGTGGCAGCTTCTGGAGAAACCCAGAGGCCATCAGGGGGCTCTGGGGCTCAGGAGCCAGTTACTATCACTTGAACATTTGTGGAGAGAATGACTTGCCGGAAGTCAAGGCAGAATGAGGCCCCCCGGCTGCCAGGGGCATTATCCATGGCAGGCCGGCTAAAGGCCAAACCAGCAGGAACCTGTCTGCGGCTAGAAGGGCCGGCCTGGAGGCAGAGGGGACCCACAAGCTGTGGAGGGCTCCCCTGCAGACAACTGGAGGAAGAAACCCAATCTCCCGCCAAGTGCAAGAAACACAACTGCTCTTTTTAAAAAGGGCCAGAGCAGGGAGTCTGCGGCCCTCCCCCCCACCCCCACAGGGGTGTCCACAGCAATAAACAGCAGGAAAGGAGGAAGCCCGTCTGGAAGCTATTGAGAAATTCTGCTCCCTGCTCAGGGCTGTGTCATGCTTGGAGTGCAGGCACCTCATCATTTGCAGGCCTCACTGCTCTTACAGCAAAGAACCAAGTAGGAAAAGACACCCCGAGATAAAGGGTGCCAGGGCAGGTGAGGGAGTTGGGCTCGACGGGGGCTCGCGGTTGTCAGGCAGGACCAGGCTTCGGTGGGAGGTTTAGCTGGGCCCATGGCACTTTTGGAGTGCTCCGGGGGAACGGGAAGGGACTGGACCTCCGCTCGAAAGCCCTGGGAGGGGAGCAGGTGCAGGGACGGGGGGACTGGGTCTCTGCCTTTCTCAGCTGACCGCTGCCCCTCACTCGGGGCAGGGCGGGGCAAGGAATGCAAATCCAGGCCACAGACCGGCCTGTAGAGTCCTCTTAAAGACCATTCTCCTTGGCCAGGTGGTGAGCCTAGGGATTAAACCAAGCAGAGGTTAAAGCATCACCGAGTGCTCACCGCACTGTTGTTCCTCCGTCTTGTTCCTAAAAGGATTTCAGGTGAGTGACTTGTTCACATCACAGCGGTGGGTTCGCTCTCCCTCCCCACCATCCAAAACGCATCAAGTTGGCCCCCTCAAATGCCAAGCCACTTCTACATCAAAACAAAACAGAAGAAGCCATGTAAACCCACTGCAGAACACCTGAAGCCATATAATGAACATCAGCTTCGAACTCACGTGCACTAACTAAACTGCACGTGTCTCCTGTGCCGTTCACTCCCCTCCCCCGAGGGGAAGGCACAGTGGTACCAAAAGCCACAGAGGAAAGGCCTCTGAAGAACCCATCTTAGGACAAACCTCACCTGACACCATGGAGATTCATTTCAGGCAAAGCTATGTTTTCTGAAACCAAAGCATCCCCCGCCTTGCTGGCGATTCCGTCCCAGCTGGCGAGGCGAACGCGTGCACGTGAAAACTGCTAGAATGCTCCGTTCTGATCTCATGGCTCCCACAGACAAAAAAAGCAAACCCGTTCAAGACTCAGCTGGAAGGTTCTGGGTATCATTTATTGACGGCAGTTTACACACATTTGTTTTCTTCCCATGGCCCTTTCCTTCAAAGCATGGGCACAGAGCCCTCTGGAAAGGCAGTTTCTGGACGAGGGAGCCAGAACGCAGGACGCACACGGCTTTGGCAGGCATGCTCAGACGCGGCAGGATGCAATCCTTCAAGCTGGAATTCCGTTGGGTGTCTTCAGACACCAAGGTGGGGGGTGGAGAGGAATAATTCAACAGGACTCACATCCCGGGCCAGGCCTGCTTGCTCGCCCTCTAAGGCCGTCCCGGCGGCAGGAGCCTGGGGGGCAGCGCAACAGGCCCACCCACCTTCCCAGCGGCAGATTCTTCAGTCCATGCCCTGCTGTTCACACCTGCTTCCGCCGGCCCCGCAGTTAAAGAGAATCAGCCTTATGGTGAGAGACAGATGACTTCCTCTCCGACCCTCCCTGGCAGCTCTTCAGCTGGGTCTGTGGAGGAACCGCTGGGAAACATGGAAGCCCGTGCTTTCCCGTCAGCTGCGTGTGCCGTCTTCCTCACGTCCCGCCCAAACGACAGGCTGGACGCTCCCAGGGCGCTCAGGCCAGCCCCCGAGCTCCCGGGCCCCGGGCGCTATGGCCCCGCCTCTCTCCCGCCGCCCGCCAGTGCCTAGGCCGGAGCGCCAGTGAGCCCTGGGCACTGGGCAATTTGGGGGAGGGAGGTGGATCAAAAAGTGGATGGAAACGGGACGAATGAAAAAGCTTCATCTGATAAGGAGAGATCTGAAGTGATTTCACTTTTATTTCCTTCACTTTAAGCCAATCGGGAAATTTCACAGTGATTTCTGGGGCGGGGGCAGAAGGGCGGCGGCTCGAAGAGCGGCCGGGCCTCACTGGGGCAGCTGCAGGAGCACAGACTGGCCGGCCGGCAGGTACGTGATGTTCCGGGAGCGAGAGAGCTGGTACGCGATGTCCTCTGCCGCCTCCAGCTTGCGCAGCTCCACGAGGCCATCGCCCGCGGCGGCGAGCGAGTTGGCAATCAGCTCGGCAGCCTTGGAGTCGCCCTCGGCAGAGATGATGGCCGCCTTCTTCTGCTGCTCAGCCTAAGACAGTGGAGGTGAGGGGAGACCAAGATCACACCTGAGGGTGCTGGACGGCAGGCAGCGGCCTTGGAAGGACCAGGCCACACGCCCTCACCGGCTCCCGGAGGAATTCTGGGAATCCAGCTCCCCCGCCTCCAGACGGGCCCGACAAGCACCGTCTACCCAGTCCTCTTTCCTGCAACGCACTGCCCACTTCTCGCCGTTGCGGGGACACCCTTCTGTTGGCTGTGGTAAGTATCTGTCTTATTCCAAAGTTCTCATTAACGTTAGCAGCAATCCAGCCCAGCCATCTTACTCTGAGCCAGGAGGATCCAAACTGAGGAAAACAAGGGAGAGAAAAGGTAGAAGCCATCCTCAGGCTCACCTTTCCCTCCAGGCCCTAGTCAGAGTGACTTTCCTCTAACACACCTGTTTGAGGAAACAGAGCAGCTGACGAGGAGCTACAGGCACGTGTGATGCTCCCCTGAGCAGACCTGGTTCCTGACCAGGAACCCAGGCAACAGAACTCGATCTCTAGGCTCTCCCTGCCCGCATCAACAGGAGAACCTCTATCTGCAATGCCCGACTTGGTCATGCGAGGAGGGTATGCCATTAACAAATGTTAACTGAGCACCTACTAAGTATTCCCAGGTACAGTCTTAGACCCATGTTCGAGACTCTGGACATGGGCGGGGGGGGGGGGGAGAAAAAAAAAAAGCAAGAAAGTACCTGCCCACAAGGAGTTTACATTCCCTAAAATTAAATGCTGGCCACCCATACATCGCTCTTTTCCCTGCTTCAAAGGACTAAGGTTCTTGGATTAGAACTAACCCAAGAAAAACTAGCAGTGGGGAGAAGGGACAGCAAGAAATAAATACGCTTCTGCAAAGACCAGAAGACCAGACTGCTATGCAAATAACAGCGTGTCCCATCACACTCTGCCACATCTGGATGGATTTAGTGCTGGAAAAAAAATCCAGTGACGATAGCGCATCTGGCACAACGCTTGATCCTTTCTGCTGTCAGCTTTCACTGTGCAACCACAGTTAAAAATGACTTCGCAGTGAAGCTGAAAATATTCCAGAAAACGTTTTTATTTGCAGGAGAGTGTTTTTGATCTTAGGGAAGTGGAAGAAAAATGACCCTTCAGTGATTTTAGAACATCACTTCACATATCCCTGACTAGCCCCCAAAGACTCTGGAGCCAATTGCAGGAGGACGGTTCCTTCAGTCCCCTTCTGATGATCCCGGAAAAAGAGACGACAGATGATTAATTTCCAGGCCACCCAGCAAACGGGGAGGCTGAGCACAGGAGAAAGGGGAGAGAGGCTCCTACCATCTGGTTGAACGCTCACCTTTTCCACCACAAATCTGGCCCTCTCTGCTTCCTGCTGAGCCACCTGTTTGGCTTCCACCGCTTCTGTGAACTCCTTCCCGAAGGTCAGATGCGTCTAAGGGGAGAGAGGGCGCGAGATGAGGCAGCGTGACTGCTCAGGCAGCGCGGCCCTGAGGCCCCCACATCACTGGGAGGAAGAGGCCAGGAATGGCTCCAGCAGCTGGAGGCCTCTGTGAGGCCAGAACACCCTTCCACCTCCACATCCGTGTCCAAACTGAGCTCCCACCCCCAGAAGCTTCGGCTGCCTCAGCAGTGCCCGCATGTCAGTGTGTCGCCCGCGGTGCGGAGATCTCAAGCAGAAAACAGCCCGTGGGCACCAGACGGCACCCGCTCAACTGACCCCCTCCCCAGGGGAGGAGACTGTGGGTTCTAGGACCCCCACCGCCGACTAGTGCTCATCCAAGGTCCTTTGATGGCCAGTTCGGAGCCCCCCGAGAGGCCAGATGGAAAACTGAGCCCGTGAGAGGGAAGGATGCAGCTGGTTCTCAGGGATTCGAGGGCGTGCCGCTCTCTGCTTATGGTTTAACCGGTCCACTTTTCTCACAGCAGCCTCCCCACGAAACAGGAAGAGGAAGAGAGACAGTGGAACGAAAATCATGGTATTCCCCACGTGTGAGTGCTTCTGGTAAAGGGTTTAAGAGAGAAGGCAGGGAAAGCTATTGCTTATGGTGAGGATTTACAACTCCGACTACCCACAGACCTTCCCTACTGGCACGTTATCACTGAGACTTGGCTGAGGCGATGGTCTGCAGTGACAGGGCAAACGGGACAGAGCTCAACTCCTGATGCCTGATCTAGAGCAACTTACTCATTTACCCAACTTTTTATTAAAAAGGAAGAAATGCAGGGAAGGATGGTATTGGTTTTGCTATCAAAATCTATTTGCCTCCTCTCCTCCCTGACCCTCCCAAACTCTGCTTTAAAAAAAGGGAAAAAAACCAAAACAAAACAAAAACATGAGCAGCTCAAAACTTCTCAGGAGTAAATCCTAGCCCCACTGTCTTCCACAACTTTTAACACGCCTCGCTCTTAAACTGCAGCTGTTCTACTTCGCCTGTTCCATTTCTGGACTCGTATTCATGGTCTGGGAAAGAAAATACAGTCCTGAGAAGTGAAAATACGAGTAATTAAGGAATAATGTTTCTTTCTAAAAGGGCCAGTTGAGGGCAGCAAATTCCCCATGAAATCTCATTTTCTTCTCACATCTCTTAGATATGGTTTCTTGTGGTCAGCCCACATTTCCCCAGAACGGAGTATGTGGTTAAAGACTAGCGAAATACCAAGCCTCTCCTTAGGTTTTAGCATTTTCTCAGAGCCAAGGTGTTTAGGTTATCAGTGAGTGGGTCGGCAGCTGAGGAATTGCTCTGGTTAGAGCCGAGCAACTGCAACCTGGCATCCTGCCAGCAGAGGGAGCCCGCCGGCCCTGCCGCTGCCGAGGCCGCCGCCGCCGCCGCCGCCACCACCGCCACCGCGGGTGGAGCTGCGCCCTCCGGGTTAGTGCTGCCCTCCGGGTTAGTGCTGCGTGTTGTTTCAACAGCTGCACAGATGCTGTGGGGGAAGCGGTGCCTCTCCCGTGCGATGCACCGGAGAATGAACAGGAAACACTTTACCTCGCTACCCGAACAAACCACTCCAAATGATTTTTCCCAGAGAATCTAGAAACACGACGCCTTCCCCTCACCCTCCTTGATCTGAAAGGCTATCCTGCCCGTATTGCTTTCTGTTTGAGCTACGGCATTCAGCGTCATTAATACACACACTGTACGGTCTCCAGACGCTAGCTTACACCTCAGAGATGTCCTGTGCCCCCCACACCAGGCTTTGGGGAGAACCACTCATTTACACTCTATCACCTTTCACCGGGGGTTCCCAGAGCTCACTTCACTGAGCTGTAGACCCTAAGTGTTAGGAAATTCCCGGGGGGGGGGGGCGGTTCAGGCTGGGAGGTCTGCACTAGGGAGAAAGACTCTCTGAGCCCTCTCTAGCCTCACCAGGCAGTTTCTTCCTGTGTCAAACAGGGCTCGCAAGACATTACTTCCTAGGGAGCTCCCGGGGACACTCACAGTGTCCGAGAAGGTGAAAAATCTACCGGTTAGGGACCCTAGATCAGGTAGGGCTAGAAGAAGAAAAATGTGTGTGGCAGAGGGGAAGCAAAAGAACCCTCATCTGAAAATAAACTCAAGGAGACTGCCTCATAGTCAAGAAGGTTCTGCATTTTTGAGTCTCGCATCTAGGAAAGTGGAAGACAGGACCAATAGTGTCCACCCCGAAATGGAGCCAAGCACCTGAACAAGAACTGCAGCCCCTTCCTCATAGGCTCCCTGAGGGTCTTACCAAGGACACGTCATCCAGGATGAGCCCAAAGGTTGCTGCTCGCTCCGTAAGGTCATCGCTCACCTGTCTGGAGACCAGCTCTCTCTGGGTGATCAGCTCTCCAGCATCAAAGCGAGCCTGGTTCCAAAGGAAGGCAGAAGAGCCAGTCAGGATGACGAGGAAGCAGAAAGGCCAGGAAAACTACCGGCCATGTCCCAACCCACCCACTGCCACTCTCTGCCTGCCACCTATCTCTTGGGGGCCGGGCTGCAGGCTCCAGGCTGAGGCCCTGTCACTCACCACCACCGACTTGAGGATCTCCGTAGTGATGGATGGTAGCACCCGCTCATCATAGTCCTCCCCGATGCTGGTGAAGATGCGGGGAAGCTGGCTGGCAACGGGCCGGAAAAGGATGCGCAGGGTGATGTTGACGTTCTGTAAATCTTAGGGTAGGGACAACTGCTGGAGTTACAAATAAAAACCACGGTGGCCTTCTAGATGACCTCTCCTACCCTCAATTTGCTGTAATTTGTAAGTAAAGTTGCGGATGTTAAGACCCTAGAGGGCAGGAGCCCCTATGCATAGCTTCCTTGGTACAAAACCCAGCAGAGCCGCAGAGCTAGGAACTTTTAAAGGTTTGTGGTGATGACAGCTTTTCAGTATGTGCTGAATGCCCTCAGATAGAAGCAATTCAGCTTACGTGTCTGACAGGTGCCATGGGATGTTTGAAACAGCTAATGTTTTAAGAAAACAGGCCAATGCCAAGAATTTTCAGGTGAAGCCTTTCCAAGGCCCCCGTCAGGAGGATGCCTTGGAGAGGTTATCACGGGTCCCGCAGAAACAGTCCACACCGGCTGGACCAGCAGTACAAAGACCAGGGCTGCAGTCCTACCCTGCTGTTTGCGAACGACGTGACCTCACTAAGCCTTAACCAATCTCGGCTTATTTCCTTGTCTGTCAGAATGGGGATGATTTCATCTGCCTTCCTGGAACACTGGGGGGAAGTGAAGGAGAAATGAGATATAACAGCACTGTGTCAAATGTGCAACAGATGTAAGGGGTCATCAGACTCATCTGAAGCACGCTTCTCATTACTTGGCCCAGGCAAAGGGTCGGGGTGGGGGAGGAGGGCGCACGAAGTTAATTACAACTTCCCCTGACGATTCAGGCCTGCCTGAGGCTAAAGCATGGTCAGCGTCCTGGCAGTCACCAATGATACGAGGACCAAGCGCCCATGGGCTAGTTCTGAACCAGGCACCCAGAGAAGCGGGAAATGCATGCACACTAGTTCCGGATCTCTGGAAATTCCTATCAACAGTTCTGAAGATGAGTAAGTAATGTATCCTTACAACAGTTGTAAAACAGCAGAGAAAGCAATCTTGAAGAGGTGGGAAGCTTAGAACTACGCTCGTAAGTTAAAATTTTATTTTTCTTGATTAACCCCACCCCACCTTTGATCTCTTGTGGGAGGCCAGCCAGACCCTCGAGGGGCCAGAAGCTACAGGCCAGGTTGCCCAATGCCAATTGCCCAATGCCCATGCCCAATGTCAATTTACTCGTCCCCGCCTCTGCCTGACACGCATCTCTTACTATAGCCCCACCTCACACGAAGTTCCTCCCAGGAGCCTGTGCAGCCACCTCTGGGGGCTAGCTGTTCTCTGCTCCCCTCCACCCCAAGCCCTTGGCTCTAGAACTCACCACGCTTACTGTAACTGCCCGGTCACATGTCTATGTCCCTAGGGGGACTGAGCTCCCAGAGGCCCTGCTTCAGTTATCTTTGAACCACCCCCATCCTGCGACCCACCACAAAACCTGGAACAGTCACGGTAAGCACACATCTGCTGGGGAACAACACTGAAGGCATCAAATGTTACTGAGACAATAAACCAACATCCACATGACCCTCGCCTCTTGCTGTGCAGAAACGTCACCACTGAGCCAGCACACCTGCTTTCCCATTTACTACCTGTGCATCTCTCTGTGTAGGATGGTGGGAGAATGGTGATGGCAGTTCGTTTTAGGCCCACTGCGGATCCAGGGGCATGTCAGCCACCAGGGGACTGCTCTCAAGGGACTCGGGCCCCCTGGGAGGCGCAGCCTGCTGAGCGGCTGACTCTTGATTTCGGCTCAGGTCATGATCTCAGGGTCATGGGACTGAGCCCTGGTTTGGGCTCCACGCTGAGCATGCAGCCTGCTTAAGATTCTCTCTCCCTGGGGTGCCTGGGTGGCTCAGTTGTTGAGCGTCTGCCTTCGGCTCAGGTCATGACCCCAGGGTCCTGGGATCGAGCCCCGCATCGGGCTCCCTGCTCTGCGGGAAGCCTGTTTCTCCCTTTCCCTCTCCCCCTGCTTGTGTTCCCTCTCTCGCTGTGTCTCTCTCTGTCAAATGGATAAATAAAATCTTTAAAAAAAAAAAAGATTATCTATCCCTTTCTTTAAAAAAAAAAAAAGATTCTCTCTCCCTCTCTTAAAAAAAAAAAAAAAGGTAACAATGTGAGGCCAGCACTGCTGGAAAAAGAGGCCTTAGAGAACAAGGCAAAGGGTAAGCTGGCTGTGAAGGCACACAAAATGGCTGGAGCCTGGTTCACAGTCACTCTGGGGAATGAGATCCCACGGAAAGGGTCAACTGAGGGAGCAAAGGCACTTTTATATTTCTTTAAAACTGGAGCACTACATAACTTTTGAAATAGACCTTTGTGTATTTCTCTAAATCTGTACAGCTGTGTGTCTACCTTAGGTCCGTATTTCTATGAATTCTCCCGGAAAAATATGCAAGGAATTCTTATTAGGGGAGGTTCAGCTTCTTCTTCTTCTGGATCCTATGGCAACCCTCCCACACACTCTACTTTATGTGACCCACAGGCAAGACTCACCTTTGCTTCCAGTGATTACTGGCACATTACGTGGTCGAGAGCGGCAATCAAAGATAATAGGTTTCTGTACCCAAGGGATGAGAAAGTGAGTTCCTTCTCCTACCACAATGTCCTGTACACCACGGAACCGGTCAAAGATGACAGCTCTGTGCCCAGCATCCACTAGGAATGAAGGATAATGACAAGTCAGAAAAATTCCTTCACCTTTTAACCAAAAAGGCTTATCTGTGAAAGCTCCTTGGTGCTTTCTGTTATTATTGTCTCCCCTCTCCTGCTCTGTCTTCCCATACTTCTGATCTCTAGCAGCTCTAAGTAGCCACAAATCTGAGCAATCCCCTCCCATCCCAGTGTCTTCCCAAGGACTCTGGTAACAGGATCTGTTCCTCAGCATCCTTTCTCCTTGAAACAACTGGCTGCTGATTTTCTGATTAACTATCCCATCCCCCAACACATTTTCAGGAAATCACCTCCCAAAGCTTCTTTCCAAAATTCACCAAAATCTTCACTGTTACCACATTCCATCCTGGTTCCAATTTAAGCCAGTGTTTCCCAGAAGCAGCTCCCTAACCTTGGAAATTCTAAAATTTGGAAGGTCCCACTCTCCAAGAAGTTGGTTTCTCTTAGGTTTTAAGGGTTAACAGAGCTGTTCTTTTGATTCAGAAAGAAATCAGTGATGGTGATTACTGTCTAGTTGTGCGGAGTGGCTACGAAGATCAGAGCATAGAGCTACGCCATTTAAACCAAGTAAGATTTTCTTTTTTTTTTTAAAGATTTTATTTATTTATTTGAGAGAGAGAGAATGAGAGATAGAGAGCACGAGAGGGAAGAGGGTCAGAGGGAGAAGCAGACTCCCCGCCGAGCAGGAAGCCCGATGTGGGACTCGATCCCGGGACTCCAGGATCATGACCCGAGCCGAAGGCAGTCGCCCAACCAACTGAGCCACCCAGGCGCCCCAAGTAAGCTTTTCTTGTCAGCTGTTCTGTCTCTGCCTTATTGGACTTCAGAGCTGCTCCAAATATCTTCACTCTGAAAGTAACCCTCCTCTTGCCAGACAGTCACATATAAGGTAGGTCAATCTACTGCTGCTTTCCAACCATGAAAGCCAGAGAAATGTCAGAGTTGGAAGGTAAACTAGTTCAGTCCTACTGCTTGATCAAAGAAGCAGCTGAGACCTAGGGAGGGGGAAATGGCTTGCTTAAGGTCACACAAGAAAGGGGAAGAAAAGTCAGCTTAAGCCCCTGCCACACTGTTAAAAGCTGGGCAAGGCACCTCGAAGATACTTTGTCTGGAATGACCCCTATGCAGCAGAGCAAAAGCTCCCGCTCGGGTAAGGGCACCAAAGATCTAAAGCCCTTGCTGAGTTATTCCACACGAGGCAGAAAGGAACAGATGAGATCTCCATTTCAGCTAGCCAGCAAGATCCTGACACTCTGCTGCAGCATCACTTCAAACCAACAAGAGCAACTGGGAACGTTTAACCAACAACTAGGCTGGGAGGCTCTTTGCAAAGAAAGGCTCTGAGAGAGCTTATGGCTACAAGGAAGGACAGAGGCTCGACTGACAAGGCAACCATATGGTGCGGGATGGCAGCAGGTGACCCTCTTGGTCACAAACACATTCACAGACAGCAGCTGCCACTAGGAGTATCACGCGGGCTGTGCAGACCGATGGAAATCCTCTGGCAAAGGGCAGTGACCCACCACCCCTTCAGTGCCTCACCGTTATACAAGGCAGAGTTCACCACTCCTCCTGCAACAGCTAAGGCCAGGCCGAACTTGCCAATGGACTCAAACACTTTGGCAGCCATGTCTCCTTCTGCTGGACCCACTCACACCTATGGGGATAAAAACAAAACAAACAAAACAACTTGATCCCAAAATTCTAAGAGAAAGCCCTCTCTGAGACACCGTATTCACTTCTCAAGCTGGCTATTTATTTCCCCACTCCTGAGGGCTCTAAATCATGCACTGAAGAACATAATAAATAAATAACTCTACAGCTTGGAAAAGTGTAGTATCAATTCTGCTTTTCAAATTTTTCTTCTTTCAAGATTTTGTCAGAGAGAGCATGCACAAGCAGGGGGAGGGGCAGGCAGAGGGAGAAGCAGACTCCCCGCTGGGCAAGGAGCCCTATGGGGCTCGTGGGCAATGATCCCAGGACTCTGGGATCATGACCTGAGCCGAAGGCAGACGCTTAACCGACTGAGCCACCCAGGCGTTCCTCTTCTTTTTCTACCACTAAGGAAAGGGGGTCTGGGGCACTTGATTCAATAACGGGAATGAGGCATGGGCTTGATACCCCCACAGAACTCCGCACCACACTAAACCACCCTTCCATCTCCTGGACAAGCAGGCCCCAAGGCAAAGGCTGGGAGGTTGGTTCTGGACAATTCTGGTCTGGAAAAGTAACTCACAGAATGCGCTACATGGTGATTCCAACAGCAAAAGTAACACTAACAGCTAGCTTTTATGCCAGGAGGCAGTCTTCTAATGGCAATTATTTAATCCTCACACCAACCCCTATGAAGCAGGTTATCACAGATGAGGAAACCGAGGCACATAGCAAGGTTACAAGAGGAACTGAAGATCACACAGCCATTTCGTGGTGGAACCAGGATTAGAACTTGGAGGTGTAAGTCTAGCAAGCCTGACTTAACTCCTCACCGTAGTGCTTCTCCACCATCAGGTGTTAAGAATAACCTGTTATTACGGAAGCAGGAGGTGGGCGACATTCTGGGACCAAGATATCAGAAGAACCAACCGGGCAAAAAGGCTCTCCATAGCTGCAGCGCAAGGGAGAACCCTGGAAGAAGTGGGAGGACGGCGCTGAAGCGGGGTGGGCGGGAGCACGACTAACCTAACTAGAATCTACTCCCGCACTGAACTTTTTAATGCCCCGCCCCGGCGGCGTCGTCCACTTCAGATTCAAATCCTCCCAGACCTGAGCCTTCTTTGATCACTTCCAGTGCATTTCAATGTTCCTTACCCGAGGCCAGGACACAGCCCGGACCCCGCAACCTTTCCATTTCCAAGAGCTTCTGGATTATTCCTCACCCGCCCCCATACACACCTCCCTTACTCGACGCAACCCCTGGCTCGTCCCGGGCTCACCCCCTCTCCCCTCTGACACGAGGCAGACCAGCGCACGCACCCTGCCCGCCCAAATTGCGAATGGGAACCCAGAAGAGATCTGCAGAGACGCCCGGGGGCCGGCGGAACCTTCCACCATTCTCACCTGCTTCCACTCTGACCTCCACATGAATTCCCCAGCCACGTATATCACGCATGCGCTGGGTAGCTCTTTCTCTTCCCCTCCCCCCTTCCAAGATCCGGACCTCCGATTGGTGAGAAAGAGCGCTGTGCATTCTGGGAAGGGCGGCTTGCTGCCTTACCCGGCTTCCCGGCTCTTCGCATTTGAACTACAATTCCCAAAAAGCCATTCAGCGTCTGGCCCGCGCTGAAAAGCCTTTCCTCTTTGGTGGGAAACGGACGAAAGGTTGTCGCAAAGCCTTTTGGGGGCTGTAGTTCCTTGGGGTTAAATGCCCGTGCCTGTGCTGAACCGGTGCTGGACCCTGTCAGGAGGTGAGCCCTAGGGCCTCAGAAAGAGTGGCTGGGGATGCGGCTGGTGTTGGCAGGGAACGGGCCGGGGCAAGTTTACGGCTGATGAAGGAAGACAGGTGAGCACCCTGGAGAAAGTTGTGGGGAGATAACTGGTGGGCTGAGAGACCTTGAGGGAAGCAGATGGGGCCATCTTTGCAAAGCCCTGTTACGAAATGTCCTGAGTGGTGGGACATTGATTGCCCGAACCAGAAAGAATGTTAGAAACCATCTGGACTAGAAAAAGAGGACTAGAGAGAGGAAGGGATTCATTCACGGTCATGCACCAATTTAGCAATGGGGCTGGGCTTAAGAGTCCATGTCCCCTGGACACGCACACACACACAAACTTATTTGGAAAAGTGGCAAAAATAATACAAAGAACACATATCTCCTTTACTCAGATTCGTCTATGGCTAACATTTTGCTTCATATGCTTTATCATTTGTTCTCTCCCTCTCTCTTCCCGTCTTCTCTCTCTGTATTTTCTAAGAATAGGGGCATCCTCTTATATAACTTAAGCAAGTTTATCCCCTGCATGCCAATTTTATCCATTGACCCAATAATGAACTTTATAGCAATCTCCACATCCCCCACCCCCATACAGGATGCAGTCTAATATTAGGTACTGTATTTATTTCTCATGTCTCTTTAATCTCCTTTAATCTGAAAATTGTCCTCAGCCTTCCTTGTATTTTATTACATTAAAACAAACAAAAAGCATATTTCTCATTTTGGTTTTGTCTGATGTTTCTTCATGATTAGATTCGGGTTTTGCGTTTTTAACTAGGATACTACCTAAATGGTGTATGGACACTTAATTTTAACAAAACTAGACCCATTTCTGGATTCTACTAGGATTGGAGTCTTTCAACTTTTTTTTTCCTGCATCTCCTCTCTTCTCTGTCCCCGTTCTTTGTCTCCACTTTCAAATGACCAGAGATAGCCACAGCAGCATTCTTCAGGTGGTATGAATTTGCCCTAACCAACCACAAATTTTTCCTCTGACCACCAGAAGGCAAGCTCTACGATAATAGCTGAAGGTTTAGTCGGCTGTCTTCATTGTTCTATTCCCAGAACATACAACAGTGCCTGGCATCTGGAGAGTCACTGCCTTAAGAGAGAAACCCACTACCGTAATAGCACTCTTGCACATGAAGCTTCTAACCAGCTCTTCGGTGCTTGAATTACTTGGGGTATTAGTGATGAGGGAACAGAAGGCAAGCTGAAGACAAGCACCAGCTGACACCCTGCAACCTCACCCCACTCCCCACTCCTGGGTGGGACCTGTGTGACATTCTTCCAGGAATCTCCCAACTATCTTAATGTTAATGCCTTGCTAGAGGGGAAAACCACCTTAACTTGACAATGGCAAGGCCTCTGGTAATTTGTAGGTCCTCTTTAGCATATGAAAGTTCTTTTGAAATCTCCCTTTTTCCTTACCTCCCCCAACCCCATAGTATATAATCAGCCACCGCTCACAACCCCGGTGCAGCAGCTCTTTCTGCCCACGGGTCCTGTCCCCGTGCTTTAATAAACCACCATTTTGCACCAAAGATGCCTCAAGAATTCTTTGGCTCCGGACCTCACCTCACCAAACCACCTATATTCCAAAACCACATCATTAGAACAAAGTCTAAGTTGCTGTATCAAGGAGATCCCCAAATACAGTGAGTGGACTAAAGAAGATAGAAGTTAATTTCTCTTTGCTCCAGGGGCCATTCACAGGCCTAGTTTTCTCTCATCTCATTGGTTGGCCATCCCCTAAAAGATTGTCTTTACCTAACCGTGGGCTATCTGTGTTGCAGCCTGCAGGAAGGGAAGACGGGAAATTTAGGACAGCAGTTTTGTTGTTAAGCAAACGAGTCAGAAGCAGCACAGATAAATTCTACTCTATTTTGTTGATGAAAACTTGGCTACATGACCTCATATAGTCACAAAAGAGGCTGGAAAATGTATTCTTTAGCTGGGCAGCCAGGTAGCCAGACGAAAGGATTTGAGGGCTAACCAGCAGTCTGAGTACCTTACTCTCAAACAGAACAGTCAGAAAAGTGCAAGTCCATTTGAGAAAAGCCATAACCTGAAAGAGAAAATCAAACCACAAACAGCTAAGCAAAACAAAACAAAAGCAGCACAAACAAAATACTTGGCAGAATCAGAGACAAGGCAAGGAGCATGAAAAATCTAAACAACCTAACCCTATAATCAGTATCTTCAGATAAAGGGAAGGATCCTACTATCCATAAACCTGGGAACAAGATGCTATTAAGAAAGATAGGTAGGGGCGCCTGGGTGGCTCAGTTGGTTAAGCGACTGCCTTCGGCTCGGGTCATGATCCTGGAGTCCCGGGATCGAGTCCCGCGTCGGGCTTCCTGCTCAGCGGGGAGTCTGCTTCTCCCTCTGGCCCTCTTCCCTCTCGTGCTTTCTATCTCTCATTCTCTCTCTCTCTCTCTCACAAATAAATAAATAAAATCTTAAAAAAAAAAAAAGATAGGTAGGAATGAAAGGCTGAATGTTTTCCCCCAGAGTCAAGAACAAGGCAAAGCTTCCCACTCTCATCATTTCTAATCAACATTAGGAGGTCTTAGCCAGTATAATAGCCTACAACAGGCAAGAGAAATAAATAGGAGCCTTTCTGCGTGGCTGCTGGTAGCAGAGGGCTGTGAAGCCCCATCATGTGGGCTGGGTGGCAGGGTCTGCAGGCCAGTCTCTGGGCTCTTTGAGGTGCAACAGCCTATGAAGTGAAAATGAATGAAGGTCATCCTGATGTTTTCCAAAAACGTCTCAGAGGATGGCTGTGATAAAACCACTAGGAGCAGAGCTGCATGTAATGAGCATATAGGTAGCTGCCAATGAAAGTTCAAGTCCCTAACTATTGTGGTTAAAAATTCTTCATTGCGGGGCGCCTGGGTGGCTCAGTTGTTGAGCGTCTGCCTTCGGCTCGGGTCATGATCCCGGGGTCCTGGGATCGGGCCCTGCATCGGGCTCCCTGCTCAGCGGGAAGCCTGCTTCTCCCTCTCCCGCTCCCCCTGCTTGTGTTCCCTCTCTCAAGCTGTGTCTCTCTGTCAAATAAATAAAAATAAAAAAATCTTAAAAAAAAAAAAGAGTGTAAAGTCAAAATCAAGACCACTCGGCTGAACCTTTAAAAAAAAAAAAAATTCTTCATTGCCGGGTTAGCCTGGTGATGGGTATTAAAGAGGGCATGTTCTGCGTGGAGCACTGGGTGTTATGCACAAACAATGAATCATGGAACGCTACATCAAAAACTAATGGTGTAATGTATGGTGATTAACATAACAATAAATTTAAAGAAAAATAAAATAAAAGGGGATAAGTGAAGCAAACAGGACAAAATTTTCATGATTGTCAAAATCTGGGTGGTAGGTACCTGAGGGGGATTTATTGTATTAACTCTCTACTTCTGTGTATACTTGAAATTTTTCGTAAGAAAAATTGGTTTTCAAACGCTAAAAAAAAAAATTCTTCATTGCCTAGGGGCGCCTGGGTGGCTCAGATGTTAAGCGTCTGCCTTTGGCTCAGGTCATGATCCCGGGGTCCTGGGATTGAGCCCCATATCGGCTTCCTGGCTCAGCGGGGAGCCTGCTTCTCCCTCTCCCTCTGCCTCTCCCCCCCTGCTCATGCTCTCTCTCTGTATCTGTGTCTCAAATGAATAAATAAAATCTTTAAAAAAAAAATTCTTCATTGTCTCAAAAGCATGCAATTGGAAGGAAAAAATAAAGAATTGGTCAAGAAGACCTGAACTGAAGCAGATGAAGAAAATTAATATTTTATTTAACATTGGTCACCTCACAATTAAGTTATGTAGAAAAATACATGTTTGAATACTTTTAATTGCTGGGCAATAAAGTCTGTTATCTTTAAAATATATTAAAAAAAGAAAAAGAAATAGGCATTTAGCTTGGGAAAGAAGTAAAACTGTATTGGGTATGTAGAAAATCCTTAAAAATTATTTTAAAAAACTATTAGAACAAAACAAAAACAAACCTATTAGAACTAATAAGTGAGCTTAGCAAAGATGCAGGACATAAAGTCAATTTACAAAAATCAGCAATAAACATTTGGAAATTGAAAGTTAAAAATACCATATTCAATAGCATCAAAACCATGAAATACTTAAGAGATGAATTTCATGACACCAGTGCAGTAAAACCTACAAACATCGGGGTGCCTGGGTGGCTCATCTCTTGATCTCAGCTCAGGTCTTGATCTCAGGGTTGTGATGTCAAGCCCCATGTTTGGTTCCACACTGGGCGTGGATCCTACTTCAAACAAACAACAACAACAAAAACACCAACTACAAACATTGCTGAGAGAAATGAAAGAAGACTGAAATAAACGGGGAAATACCATATTCATTGAAGAGAAAATTCAATATTGTTACAATGTCAATTTTCCCCCAACACTGGTCTATAGATTCAAAGCAATTTTTTTTTTTAAGATTTTATTTATTTATTTGACAGAGAGAGACATAGCGAGAGGGAACACAAGCAGGGGGAGTGGGAGAGGGAGAAGCAGGCCTCCCGCCGAGCAGGGAGCCCAATGTGGGGCTCGATCCCAGGACCCTGAGACCATAACCCGAGCCGAAGGCAGACACCCAACGACTGAGCCACCCAGGTGCCCCGTAGATTCAAAGCAATCTTAACCAAAATTTCACCAAGCTTTTTTCTG